AGCGCAACCAGATGTACAGGCTTAAATTAATTTTAGCTCGTATTGGAGTGCTATTATAATTTTGCTAAAAGGGGTAAGACTTGCAACGATAAGCTTGAACGGCATTCTAAGTGCATGAACAGGGAAGTGGCAGGACAATAAAGCTTAGCTACTGTGCTCTGTTCAGCTTTTCGTTGGAAATAAATTTTCATTGGTTATTATCAAGTAGTTTATTAGTTTGCCTAGTTAGAAATGAAGAAAATTAAATCGACTTTCTATATGTCTTTATACCATTTTTCAAATTGATGAGGTCAAGGAATTAGCCCCATGGCTATTACTTTTCTAACATTGGAAAATCATATTTCGCAAGTGGTAGAGCAAATTAATGCAAGTATACATATGCCCCTAATGGCAAATGATAAATTAGCTAATACTGCTTATGCAATATGCAAGCCGTAGTCAAGCCGACGAGTATTCTTGAATTTTTGCTATTTAAAAAAATATGTATTAAGTTTTAAAGCTAGAAAAAGATCTATAATAGGAGCTGAAATACAGACAAAACTCTCTACCCAGAAAAACCTGCCGCATACACCTCTCAGAATGCCAGAAGGCAAGACGAATTCTGATGTTAAGAGCTTCCTTTAAACAAGTCGCAGAATTCTTTGCTTTGATTCCTTGCCGGCATGAGTTCAACAGCATACAAAATTCATAAATACAGGAATTAGCAGAGCCAAATCTGATTTGAGAATAACAACATATATATATATATATGCATAATCGAGTACTTATGTACATTATACGAAAAGAAGGAGCGCAGCTACGCTCTTATCAGCGCATTAGGTTCCCTCGGTTCATATTTAGCATCGCCTGCCCCTGCTGCTGACCCACTGGTGGAGGAGGAGGTAAAAGATGCTGCTGTTGTTGCTGCTGCTGTGAATGGTGCTGATGGTGTTGTTGAGTTTGTTGGGTCGAGGCTGCAGAATGTGTCTGCATGTGTATGTGGGTTTGGGATTGCAGATACCCAGTCGGAGGAGGCTGTCTGGATGGACCACTGGACGGCTGTGAATGTATCAGTCCAGAAGAGGCGCCAGTAGAAACAGTCTGAGGAGCAGATTGATGATGGGAGTGCAGCTGCGACAGCTGATGAAGCGAATGCATAGGCCCACCACCGCCACCATTCCCAGTGCCAGAAGCAGACCCAGCAGTCATTTGCCCAACTGAATGGCCGTTGTTAGCAGTTCCTGAAGCCGAAGTGCACGTTACGACGACAGCACCAGCTGTTGTATTCGTGACGGTAGAAGCTGAAGTGCTACTGCTTGTTGCGCCTCCTGCAGATGATGAATTAGCCATCACTGAAGAAGCAGCAATGGATGAAGAAGCTAGGCCAGGAAGGCAAACAGTAGGCCGAGGAATACGTTCAAGTATCAATAGCGGCTGATCGGAGGTCTCGTCGAAATGGTGCCATAATTCATATAGACTAAGCAGATAACGAACTACTTCAAGAACCTGATAAAAGGGACAAAAAAAAGAATAAACCAATCTTCTTCAGAAAAGCAAGCCTTGTTGCAACAAGGCGAGTGCAGAGAATGGACTAGCCTTAACTAGTAATTAAATAAGATGTACTACCCTTATTTCAATAAAGGTGATAAGGACTGGCAGCAGAATTTTTTCAAAATAATAAAAATAGATCTTAAGTTTCCATTGAATTTCACATAGTCTTGCTTCTCAGAAGCAAGAATGGAATGGAGCGCAGTTTCGACCTCGCCTAGGTCTTATCAGCACTCCTAGCCGAACACCAACCATGACAGTGCAGCATGTAATCTCGATACGTTAACCACTACTTCACGTTGCCACGAGTGTCCTTGAGCCACAGAGAGGATGTGAATTTCGAGGGAGGCCAGGCATTATCCAATATCATATTCTTTTGGGGGATTATCGATAAAGGACAGTTATATTTGAAAAGACTATCGACTATATTAATTATTTTTCGTGCATAAGAAGGGTTTCGAGACTACCAGTAAATCAGTTATATGAAATGTATTCATCATATTTCGTTTAAAAGGATGAAGAACTGGAAGCTGAATTTTTGCCACAAAATATGAGTATAGCTAACGTTTCCACTGATTTTCACATTGCCTTACTTTCCCCAAAGGTGTTCTCATCCAGTGTGCACAGAAGTTTCGACCTAGCCTGCCCTTCCTTGAAATTCACATATGCCAAGTGACCCAAGTGCACTCTTAGCAATGCGGCGCAGTGGTTAGCGTGTTGAGATTACACACTGCACTATCATTGTTCGACTCCCACTGGGAGTGCTGATAAGACCTAGGCGAAGTCAAAACTGCAGCCCATCCTGGATGAGAACACTTTCGGGAGAGCAAAAATACGTGAAATTCAATTCCTCACATAATTGTGAGGAAATTCAACTAAAAGTACATCACCTTAAAAAAAAAGGGGGAATACATCCTATTCATTATCGCTGTTGCAATATAAAACAGTCAATCGTTATCATAAATAATCTCGCTACATAATTAATTGTGTCAGAACAAATAGGTTATCTCTAACAAGATCACATAACTTGTAGCTATGTTTGTCAAACGAAGTTAATAAAAGAAGTTGTTTGACTTTGTTTTCGCAACATGTTCATATTGGTAGGAAGACTTAGCGGCACGCACCTAGTCCGAAGTCCATTGTCTGCATGATAATTTCCAAAGTTGAACCGTGGACGTGGTACATTCCCAAACGTTTCGCCGGCATCGTCAGTGAGTATCGCCAATCTTAGCACCACACAACAACTCGTCAGAGACAAGTGAAGCCGATCCTTTGACCAAACTTGTACTAAACAATTGTGGTATCTCCCCTTCTGCCCTTGGTTATTCGCGTTTCCATATCCAGCCAACCTATCGGTCAATTTACAGTCGATTTCATGGCCCGTCCGTGCAAGGTGTTCCGCTATTTCTGATCTTTGTGTATCCATGTTCCTGCAGAGTCTTTGATCTTACTTGATTCGTAGGCCGATTTTTCGTCCTGTTTCACCGATACACTTTTGCTCACAGTTTCCGCATTTTATGGGATAAACTCCCGAACATTCAAGTTTATCCGTCTTGTGTTGTGTTGGCAGACCAGTGAAGTGTTTTCTTCTCCTTTGTCATCACCTTATATTCCATTTTCCTAATAAAGGTCGCAATTGTTGGCTCAGTTTTGATGAGGGCAAGCAGATCCACTTTTGATT